AGACACTTGGATTAAGTGAGTAACTTAAAAATTCAGAAGCTCTGATTCTACATGAAGCACCAAAGCTTTATAGATTAACAAAATAATTTTGTTGCTTGCTTGTGAATGTAGATCTTTAGGGATAAATACCCTGTCTAAAATTCTGTAGATAAATCAGGTCTGCATTCGTTGGCTTGGTCTGTTTTTTTACACTCCTAATGGCTTCAGGATACGTTTGTATAGGAGTTGTAGCTCACTGCAATGGATTTCCTGGAGCCACTGGTGCTGCTTTCAGTTGCAAAACTGAATCACAGAAGTACTGCTAAAGCAGTTGGTCAGCAGAGGATAGGAGTTATGTTGACCTGGGTACACAATGGCCGTGAATAACAGCTTTTGCTAGAAGCAAACAAAACTGGGTAGATGGAGGCCACTCAGCTCTGCACGGCCTCTGTGGTTGCTGACTCCCGCTGCCACGTGCCTGCCGTACCGGTGCTCTGAGACACACCTGGGCAGGTGTGGTACTGGGGCTGTGGGCAGATCGATTCAACAGGAGTATGAAGCGGTGGCACAGCAGAGGGCTGCACAACCAGACAAGGAGCCAGACTCTATTTACAAATGTCTATTCCAATTTATGCTGCCTTATCTGTGCTTGCAGTGCTCTGCATAGCACTGAGTTCTTTGCCAAGTGTATACAATACAGTTAATTATCACTCTATCAGTATCACCTCCTAAATTAATTTTGCTGGTTTTCATGATTGCAACATTGAATGATTTATGTTTCCCCCTTACTCTTCACTAATTGCATAACTGCTCATTGCTGAATTCATTTGTCTTCATCTGTCCATGTGTTTTCCTTGTTTCTCTTGTACATATGCTGTAACTTTGAAGCCCTCGAACAAGAACGTAAATACTTAATCTGCAGAAATAACTGGTGCTGTAAGTCTGCCCAGAAGTGTTGCAGGATTCTTTTTCCCCTAACACTTCTCTCCCATCCCAGTAAAACCTGTGAACTGTTTGATAGCTGAGCAGTGTTTGGGAGCAGAAATGTTACAATTCGCCCTTTTAAAGTAAATTTACCAAATTTATCAATATTTCAATTCAACTTGAGTAGCACATCGTATGTTTAATACAGTAAGAATATGATATGTGAGTTGCACGGGGAAGTCTTTTACCTTTCCTCAAAAGTGCGATAAAAAGTGGAAATAAAAATGGTCTGAAAAGAGTAATTTTACAAAGTTAATTTGGACACAGTGTGAATGACCTGGAACTTCGTGTAAAACTTACTCTTGTATGCAATTAGAGGGGGAAAAGAAAAGGCTAAGGTCGGACAGATAAGTTACACAATGCTGACCTTATATTTAAAATTACTGTGCTTAAGGAGATGACAGATCATTTTGGTCTTTATATAATAACCAAAATTCAGCATTTGTGCGAAGCATAGGAATGCTAAGCTTTTATTTTCCCAGAGGTACTTAAAAGAAGTTTGACACACTTACAAAAATAGGGTGAGATCAAGTTATAGAAATCTAAAGCAGGATTTTGTCATGGCTTTATTTTTGCCTCCAGACTTTAAATACTTCTAATAAAGGATGTATTTTAAAGGATTAACTAAAAGCCTAGAGTTCACATTGCTCTATTTGAAGCTCAGAGAGGCTTGTACACTCCCATACTTTTTTTTTTTTTTTGTAAGTTTAGGAAACACATAACTTTTTCAAAAATCAGTTTTCTAAGGAAGGACAAATGGAAAGACTGTTCTTCAAGCAACACAACTTTAGGTTCCATTACACGCACCTCTTAAAAAAGACAGTCTTAATAAACTCTCTAGGGCTTGTAGGAAACTTTGCTTGTCTTGCAGAATGATTAAAAATGGCTGTGTTTGTTTCTGAATAACTTGTCTTTTTTGGTAATTCCTTTCTCTTTCAGACTCCAGATTGACATAAATTTATTACTTGAATGAGTAATGGAATAACATTCTTTCTAGGGGGAAGTGCTGTATCCTGAATAAGTAGCAGTAATGCTACTTATAAATAGTTAAAAACAGTTGTAGTTTTGTGCTTTGAGCAATGTTGTTGTTGAAACAAGGATAAAAGTAGTACTAATATTAAAAAGACTTATTTCACTACGTTGTATGTGCCAAAGAATAGGCAAAATACACTTCTCTCCTGGTTTAGTGCATCTTTTAGTGGGCTTTCAGTGAAACGTGTTTTTTTTTCTTTTTTTAGCTGGCTAGTATCTGAGCTACATTTATTTTTACCATATTATTTAAGTTCATATATTGAAACTTCAATCTCTAGTATCCTATAAGGATTTAGAAATTACAAAGGTAACTTTCCCATTTTTCCAAATTTCTTATTCCTTTGTACTGACTTTTTTTTGTCAAGGTACAGAAGATAAATTTGTAGGTTTGTTTTTGGTTTGTGTGTTTGTTTGTTTTTTCCCCTGGTATTAGTAGCTCTTGAAAAGGGGACCTGTATGGATTTCTCTTCTGTCTCTCTCTTTTTCTTTTTCTTTTTTTTTTAAACTCTTGCATGAGGAGGCAGTGCTGATTGGAAAGATCAGACCTACCACACAATGAGATATAATGTCACTTTAGTGCTTTATACACAGAAATGACTCTGTGTTGGTTTTGCTTTGTCATCAGTCTTTGGGGCACTGGTATGTGATTAACCTTCTTCCGCTGGCCACTGGCACTTTTGGCCCCTCCTCTTCATCCTAGTCAGGCACTGCAGCTCAAGGAAATAAAAATGCAATGAACAGATCAAAGCAAGAGGGAAGAGGAAGAGGACAGAGCATTCTTGCCACAGCCAGGTAGTTGTAGCTACGTAAGAGCAGAGTGCGCACTCGTTGAGTGGAGAAGGAAGGTGTGCTGTATTCAGGGTGTGAGCCCAAGGCTGAAAAGATTCTAGCAGTAGTGGTGCAAAATCAAGTGATTTTTTTTTTTTTTTCCTTTTTAAAAATTTTCCCTTCCTCCTTTTTCATTGGACAAATAGCAAGACAGAATTAGTTAAAAGTAGCTACATCACACAAAGGCAGTTTCAGAGCCTCCCAGAGAAAGGAAGGCTCAAGTAACATGTGGAAGAATTCTGGTCTCCAGAGGAAGGGCATAAAGATTGTGACATGAGTGAGCAATTCTTGAGCCACTGGGATGGCTGTTCTAAGACCTTCTGCCTTCTTCACATCACCATTTGGGAAGCATTCCAGGAAATTTTTCTTTTTTGTTTTTTTAAATATGGTTTGAGTCCACCTAAATATCCTGTATAACCTCCTTGTATCAAGGCTGATGTGACTGATAGAAGTTTGTAAACTTAGCTATGAAGTAAGACCTCATTATATAGTCTTTGCACATTGTTTTATTACATAAGCAAATGAAAATCATATGTATAGAAATTATTAAAAGGTGCCTACCATCCTGTGATCTGAAAAATGAGGAGAAGGTGTATTATTAGTATTTATTAGAACAGTGGCCAAGTAAGTGGTGGCGAGCATAGGACTGGATTTACTTGGAGTAGGCAATTGGGTGTGATAAACACAAAAACCAATGGTATGTTTGTACACTTTCTGCCAACGTCTAATCAACTGGAGTGAGAACCTTCTAGTGTAAGACATGAATATTAAAAGAATATGTAGAATAATAATCTACAGAAATGGGAGTGAAGCATATGCAGATTAGAAAAGAAAAAAAACAGGTGGTAGGGAAGCATTCAACATTTGGCACAATCTAATGGAAAATAAAATATCCTTAGATTTATTTTTAAATAGATCACTTTGAAAAAGAATTTGAGAAAGATTATTTTTATATATTAAAAGTCTACAGCAGTCCTTAGGCTCATAATTGAGAATGGATGAAGACCTTTGGTTCTACAAGTGGGAAATATTGAGTATTGTGAAGACTGACAAGGTTGGTTTTGCCTTGAGATCAGCTTCCCAGGCACCGCCTGGAAATCACATACTACTAATAACAGTAGCAAGATAGTAAATAGATTTCTTTACCAGTTTCTACTTAACAAAGAACAGACTTGGTGAACCACTGATGTTTTAGGAGAGTTGCTTGAAGAAAATTATTGTATTTTTTCACAGCTGTAACTCATGGATTACCTGTTTAAAAGGGGAGAGAGGAGGCACTAGAAATTACATAAAATGTTGCTTATCTCCACCCACCTTTAATTTTGTGTATTTTGTGGTAAAACTTTTTTTTCATTAAGTGGTAATTACAAGCTTTATGGATGGATAGATTCAAGTTGGTGCTCAGTCAGATGTGTGAAAATATATATGTAATCTGGGATTGTAATTGCAGAAGTGCAGTGTCTTAGTTTTATTAAGAAATTGGTAGGGATTTGAAGACTTTGAGGATATACATATGGGACAAATCACTGATTTGATCAATCAGAAATTTCAAAATGCACACCTCAAACAAGAGGAGTGAATGGGGACTTTTAGCGAAAGATTTTAAACATTGCTGAATGAAACAGACAAGGTAAAAAGGAAATGAGAGACTAAATCAGAACTGAAAAGAAATGAGGAAAAAGTGCTAGTCAGCTAGAGCTAGACAGATGTGTCTTAGGGATCAGATAGTGTTAAAAATTCCTTTTTTCATCTTAAGAATAGACTTAGCAAAAGGATGTTGACATGAATTAGAAAGGATTTATGTAAACATACAGGTATTTGTATCTATAAATACATTTGCAGTGAAGTCTCTGTAATATTGGGCTTGATTGGTGGAACTTTCATTATCATTGAAGCAAGCAAAAATTCTTGCTTTGTCTTCAGAAACTTAATTTCATTTAAATCTTGTAACTGGAAACAGTAAAAGCATCAATTAACCTATAAAGTCATGTTTTTATGTATCTGAAAGGTGCATTCAAATGCCTAACATAATCTTTCTTTCTCCCCCTCCCCATGTTCTAGGAATTGGCTCTCCGTAGCCAGCTTCCAACAATGGAACAAGACGGTGGATCTCAAAATCCCGTGTCATCTCCTGGAATGTCTCAGGAACTGAGAACAATGACTACAAATAGTTCTGATCCCTTTCTTAACAGGTTTGTAGGAGTAGCTACTAGAGGGGAAAAAAATTGATTTAAAATTCTGTTTGGTACATGTAATAGTTTATTTTGAACATCTGTCTGTGCCAAAAGCCACAGCTGTAAATGAATCTTTCCTTAAATGGCAAGTCTAGTAAAAGTTGAGGATTAAAAGCTGTCTCCTGTGGGAGGAAGTAGTCTGTTCAGACTTGTAGGAAGGTTTTTTATTCAAAGTCATAACATGTTTGCCTCTGCATAATCTGTTGACTAACAGTCATTTCAAATTACTGACTCAGAAGAATTTGTGAATAGCTTGCTATGAGATCAAATGAACTGTGAGGCACATTTAGGACTACACCTTGAGGTTCATTTTAAGGTTTCTTCCATTCACCCCTCCCTGCCACTTCATGTATTTGATTTAGCAGTATTTTTACTTGTTAATGTTAGGTCTGTAAATAGTGGCATGTTTCATTTTAAATGCTGTATCATTTTGAAGTGGGTCTTTTATCTCCAAATTTAGAATTTTACAGTATAGACTAGTCTTTTTCATATAACTTTTCCTTAATCCCTTTCAGTTGGAGTATTTGTTTTGTTGGAAATACTGTTCTGATTACAGCTTGCAGATGCTTCATAGTAACCATTACAACTTTGAAGGGACTACTGTGGCTTGAGATAAGTCATATCTATATTTTTTGCTTAGCATGCTGGAAAGAAAAGATTAAAATGGTAAAACAGTCAAATCTCCAAGCCACATAAACTTTTAATTAATAGAGTAGAAATCTACTAACATTTCAGCAGTATCAAGTAGTTGATCTTAATTGAGTAGTTAATTTTATAATTCTTCATTGGACTATGTTTTGTCAGCATTCTAAAATGATACCAATTCCATATCCCCTACCATAAAATAGAAAAGTTAGGTATTCTGGCAGAGTTTATCACTACTTTTCTTCATTACCTGGAAATGCTAGCCTAACTTTAGGATGTTTACTGTAAGTGCTCATGAAGTATAACAACATTCTCATCCCTCTCTTTAATGATACATTATTATACTTGGGGAAAACCCCAAAAAATTAATCTTGAGTTTTTTTTCAATGTAAGTCTTAACTTCCATGGTTTTTGCCACCTATACAGTTTCAAACCTGCTCATGAGGTAAGAAGTCCACATCATGTTAGAACTGGCATGATTTTGGAGTAGGGCAAGCTTAAATACTTGCTGTAATTTTAGATACTGACAACTGTTAAAATCTTTTGTAAACCTTTGCTGCAATTATAAATCCCTCCTTGTATTCTTTTAAATAACTTAATGTTGCTGATAGCTCACACTTAGGTTCTTCATCCATTAAGATGTATTGTCATTGTATGTAACTTTTCCAGTTATTGATACTCCATCATCCTAGCATGCTTGTTTGATTTTCTCACTTTTCCAGGAGGACATATACTCTCCATCTTGCCAGTGGAATCTGTTGTCATTTATATAGTTTAGCAGATGTATTTAGATCTGTTGCTCTTAAGCTTTTTTTCCCCACTGCATAAAGTGTTCTGTGTGCTGCTGAGAGTGGGAGAAAAGTTTCTGTTTCAAGGCACATATTGGAGAAAACAAAGTGAAAAAAACACATGGAGAAGAAAGTAGTGATGTTTTGTTATTAAACTCCCTCAGGAAGTAAGCGGTATTTCCAAGTTTTGGGTAAGCCCTTCAGGAAGACTTATCTCCTGCACAGACAAATCTGATGAGAAAACTTCACTTTTGTTAGAGGGAGGGATTATCCTCCATGGAATTCATTCTGGGATCTGGTGTGAGTTCTCACTGTGCTGGCCCTGTCCCAAGGAGTAAAAAGGACAAGAAATCTTAAGACTGACCTGTTGTCCTGTGAGAAGCCTCTGTAGATAGATGACGGCCTTGATGCATTACAGTTAATGTACTAGCTTGAATTTCTGGAAGGCTGTTGCCATCATACATTGAGCCCAGGTATATTTTGAAATTTGTTCTTAAATGATGTAGAACCCTCACATTTTCAATGCCCATTTTCTGACCTGAAAGAAATGCATCTTCAGATTTCAAATGGTAGTCATGGCAGTGGACTAATGCAGGTTATCCATTGTGAGTCTACACACATCAAATATATAAAATGATGGATCTTTGCCTTTAATTCGAAACAGGAAAAAAGCTAGAAAGGGCAAATTCATGTTGATTGTAATTTTTTGGCAGGTTAATAATTCACAAGGACTATTTACTGTAAAGTGCAGAAAGATACTACTTGCCTAGTTGCAAATATGTTTAACTGGGCTTTATTTTGTAGCCCGTACCCGACACAAAATACTGCAAATCTGTAACTTATTTCAGTCTAGAATATCTTAATTTGCATTTTGGTCTGAGCATTGTCCCCTTCTAGGTAATTTTATGTACATCACAGCACTTAATTCTGGCATAGGGGTAAGAAAAAGGGATTTTTAAAAAGGACATATGTGTATATGCGTTGCTATCTCTAAATTAGATACAGAATTCCAATAGTTTTGCCCTAAAGATCTCCTTGATGTCCCTTATGTTAAAATTCAGACTTAGAGAAATGCTTCTTTCTATCTTTATGGAGTATACATAAAGTTCCTGGTGAGACAGTCCTCCTAGCTATCTGTGCCAAAGTTGAGGTAGTTGAGTATTTTCCACTGCCTACTGAAATCAGAACATCCAAAATATCTCCGAAAATAATTGCTACAGTGGAGCAGTTTGAGCAAATGTACAGTAGTGTTTTCATTTCTGTAGTCAGTCTTCTGCCTGCTGTCTTCAGTACTTGGTGTCATTGTGGTATATTTTATTTTTTTAAATGGGACATCCAGTAATACAGGCTTTATTGGAATATTTCACCTTTTGATTTGCCACTCTGTTTATGTATTTTTGTCTATTAGATTTATATTGGTATGATGGTAATTCTCCGTTTAACTCCTAAATTGGGATGATTTCTTTTGTATACACATATTTTAACAAGTATTAGTTGAAGAAGCATCCACTCTATTTCGGGTAATGCAGTTTAGTTGCATGCAGTAATTTTGGGTGATGTGACTTCTAAATGAAGAAATCCTTGTGGAAAAAAGAGGGAATGTGTATTAAGGAGCGATTTGAAGAGAAGGGCTGGACATTCCAAGTGAGAGCAGCAGCCAAAAAGCCTTCTCAACTAGAATGATTTAGTTCAGCATAGTCTCAGTTCTGTTTTTAGTATTTTTGTCCCACAAAGTAAAACAGCTTTTTTTTTTTTCATGTGGTAATACTATTTTTATATAT